GTATATAATACACATGAGACGGGGAAAATCGCGGGAGCCCATACGAGTCCCTTCCCCAAAAACAACCAAATGCGACCCCCCTTCCCCAGCGGAAAAGTACGACCCCCCCCCCCCCTACGTGTTTCACACAAAGACCATGGTTGTATATTGGGTTAGTTACTCATGTGCTTTCTGAAATTGCTAGGTGGAATTCATATTCAGACGGCCAGCTTTTAGGCTAAATCGTCGTCTTTGGGGCCTGAATATGATTCGAGGCTCCAATTTAAGCTCTGGCTCACCGAGCGCCTCATCTTTTGTAGCGGTTATTACATGAGACAGGAATCTCATAGAGAAATTCACACAACGAAGAGAAACGATCTGAAAAGTTGCAGGGAACCATTATCCGTTACTGCGGAAGTATATGTAAATGCGATTATCAATGCTAGAGTGTGACAGCGAATTTGTCAATTCAGAAGGTAGAAACCCAGGTGAGCTGGTTTCTCTTTATCTTCAAGGTTCTTGTCAGCATGTCGGAACCAGTAGAGAAGATGGCGCGCTTGGCTGATGAGGTTACATTTGAAGATGAGGATCTCAAAGGCAAAGCCGATCAGATATTCTGGGTAGTGGTGCTGAACTAGCGATGCCAAGATGCCAACAAAGTCAATAGTGCAGAAAAAAAAGAGAAAAAAATGGTCGCAAATGCCCCCAATAAAACCCCTCTGCGAGCACACTTGTACGAGCAGAGGAAGAGCAAAGAGAGTGATCGGACGAGATCACCGGGCGAGTGCTGTTGTGGTCGATGTGGTTGCGCCATTGATCACAGCTGATTTCCTGTTGCCAATAATGTCTCTGCCGATGTTCTTTAGCAGGTCTTCTATCATTATGGATAGCAGAGCGGCGGGCGGGGTTAATTTGAAGTGGGTCGGGCCAGTGAGATGAACGACAATGTCTCCCTCACCTTTGCGCCGCAAAAATGGTGCAATCGCTGTTCTGCGGGCCTGTCTACCTGCTCAGGAGGGGGGAGGAAGATGCCAGCTGATCGCGGGCAGTTCCTTTAAGGCCCCGTTTCGGTTCAGTCAAAACGTTGGCTCTCTGTCCAAAAGTTCTATCTATCAATTTCGGAAAGCAACTAACCAACTGATACAATATTTAGGCACAGAGTTCTCAAAAGCTATTTCCTGTTCCATGTCTTTGGTATTCGTTTTTTTTAGTACTGGAGACATTCAGTACTGAGGTGTTTAGTACTCGAAGAAGAGCTAAAACGATTTTAGACCAGGGGGCGCACAGAGGCCGCAGGGCGTCTAGCTGCCAACAGGAATCGTGCAAAGAGGCTGTGTGACTGTCAGGGAGGGGTTTCGTTTGAGGTTCTTAATTTTTTTGCCTTCTCAGCTGAGTAGTCCCTTGTCAGCTACTGGGTCATAACTGACTACTACACTACTATTTATTAGCGGGAATTGTCTTCAAACGGCTAACTAGCAGCTAATGAAGGGAAGGTGATAGCTATGTTTTGATAAGATCGCGAGTCACCTGTCTGGGGCGAAATGGATCGAGTACTGTAATACGCAAAAACAGACACTAGGATACTTTTAACGTGTCACCTTTAACAATGTTTTTCATCAAATTTCCCATTTAATCCTTGTTATTTCCCATAACTGTAATTGAATCTATCGTAGTCTTCCCTGAAATCCTGTCATGCGTTGAAAAATGCTTCATTACAAAATTTTACGGGCAAATTGATAAATAACGGCAGCCACAGCCAAGCCAATGCCGTTCTAAAAAGTTGTGAACACTATTATTATGTCAAATAGACTGACTTTAGTAACGAAAAGTTCGTACAAAACAAAAAATCTCGAGAGGTTCCAATTAAGTCAAGAGGGAAAAGAAGCGAAGTACAAATAAACATGGAAATGAAAAAGTTATTTGGCCAACTTTTTCTGACAACTACGTTAAGGTAAGTTCCACTGAAAAAACCGCCTTTATTTATATTAGGTTGTCCCAAAAGTTCTGGGACACTTTTTGAATCTCGTATCAGATTTTTCCGCAGCCATTTCGAGATCCAGTTATGTGGTCTATGGGAAGTGTGTGAGGTAAGCATTCCACAGCTTCTTCACCGTCCCTCGCAGTCGCTGTTCTCATATGAAAAACGGTAATTGAAATTCATCATTTTCGACACACTTCGCTATATGAATCGCTACCAAGCCACAACGTGGTTGGAGCCATAAGCGGCATTTCCCTTATTTAGATCTTGATGTTAGCTTCCACAGTACGGCTTTGGAATGGCTCAATTGCTTCCGCTTTAGTGACTTCTATCCGGGTGAAAAACTTCGTCCAAGGAGACCACCTACCTTGGATTTGGACCTACTGTGTTCCTTGATTTATTTACTGATTAAAACCATTTCGTACAAATCAACTTGCTGTTTAGTCCTTACACTTGACTGGTCCCAAAGCACAAATGAGAGAAGGCCTCGCTCCCTTAGAAAAGTTTTGAAGTTCGGTCAAAATTTTTCTCATCAGTTGACCAGTACTCCAAGGGGAGCACATGTGGGTACTGTCTACAACTTCTTTCCCGCTTCCGCTGTACGGGCTGGTTGAACAGCATGCTACTGATATAGGAAGTGGGTGCCTCTAGGTGAATCACTCCTGGGAGCGCCAGCGGCTAGATCCCCCAGAAAGGGCAGAACCGATCGCGCAATCCTATCAATCCAGTAGGGCGGTGAGGTGTATGTGGTGGGGTACCTTTCTCCGCTCTCGAAACGGAATTCCCTCCTTCCAACGCTATGGTAACCAGGGAGCCCTATTGTAATCAACTGCAAAGTGGGGTGGAAAATCTCTACCATTTGGTCCCAAAACCGAGCAATGTTTGCCTACTCCACCACAGCTCAGGGTCACACATTTGGAAAACGACACTGCTCGAGATCCCGAAGCTTAGCTGGGGAATTCCACCGTCTTCGTGTAGCCCTGACTTAGCTCTTTCCGATCGCCATCTAAACTAATCCCACAGCGGCCATCTTCTTGGTAAAAAATCTAATTCGAAAAAAAGTTTGAAAATATTCCAGAACTTCTGGACAACCGAATTGTTATTGTGTGAAATGAAGCAGCGTAACAAGACTACATTTCTATTGTAGTGATTCAGCTGAAGGTGTCAACAAACTGGATTGACGAGAGGTTCCACTACATTTTTAAGAGATTCAGCTTGTATTGCATAGAGTCGTATAAGAATAGTGCGCAGTTCGGCGACGGAGGAGGGGGGGGGGGTGGGCATTTTGCACATCAGCTGCTTCACTAGTTTCGGTTTACAGGTCTCACTTTGAAAAAACCTGTGAACTCTTGTGAAGCTGGAGCAAGCTCGTCAAGCCATCATGTTGAAACCTGTCAACTCGAGAAGAGGCTGTCTAGATAGGTCGACACGTCGATGGGAAGTAGCAAAGTGCAGAAATGCCCCCCCCCCCGCCCTCCTTCGTCGTCGAACTGTCCCAATATTGTAATATCTACCATTAGTATTGAGGGAATCTTGACCGGATTATAGCATTATAATATAAATGAAATTGCTCGAAAATGGAGACACGTGCAACACGATGTGCGAATTTCAGTTCGATTTTGACCTCGACTCGGGTCATTAATATTTCTTCGTCCATGTAGCGAGCTAGCTGAAGGACTGAAATGAAATGTGGACTCGTAAGCAGAGTGTGAATGAATGCTGCCACTGAATCAACGATTGGCTTTAAAGACACATGGTACGCTCACACACATTGAGGGTGTATGAGACTATCAGCCCCCCAGCTGTCGATGTGTCGTGGTCCCCCGCCCAAACATGCCCAGGAATGGAGGTACAGGACCGTGAAGAATGGAGGTTCAGGACCGTGAAACACGCTAATTCCTCCATGCTCCGCCTTTCATAACATCCGTCGTAAGCGCGCGTGTCGCGTGCGGCTCCTTGGCACTTTGCCAAGTCCTTTAATTGCGCTCTCAAGTAAAACGCAATTTCCTGATGCGGATAACATTGGAGGTGCTACAAAATAAGAACAGAAGATGATGACGAGGGCCAGAACTCAAGAGCAACTCGGCTGCATCTGCAGTATCCATCAGAGGCCGCGCATTCCACAAAACATGCGAATAAAAAACAATCAAGCGTCCACTCGTTTATTCTAAGTATTTCTATGGCTTTGGCGCCGGATTCGCGCCGGATCGTAGAAATTTACAGGCGATTTCAACTAATTTGCCTTTCCTTGATTTTTCATTTTGTTTTATTTACATTTACATCGTTGTGCTTCATTTCTAGCCTGTGTCATCTTCATCTCCTTGTACATGGATTTTGAAGTATGAGCAACACCTAAAATTTTATTCGCATCAGGAAATTGCGTTTTGCTTGTATCAAACTAACGAGTATGCCGTTTTATTTTCATGTTTCGTGGAAATACGCGGCCTCCGAGGGATGTTGCAGAAAAGTGCACAGTTACTTTTAAGTTCTGACTCTCGTCATCATCTTCTGTTCTTATTTTGCAGCACCTCCAATGTTATCCGCATCAGGAAATTGCGTTTTACTTGCATTTGAAAGCGCAATTAAAGGACTTGGCAAAGTGCCAAGGCCGCATGCGCACACGCGTGCTTCGACAGATGTTAGAAGACGGGAATCTGCCGCCGGCAAACAGCTGTGCCAAGGGCGAGCATGAAGGAATTAGCGGGTGTTTCACGATCCATGTATCTCCATTCCCTGGCGCATGTTTGGCGCGGACCGGGACTACGACACCTTCGACAGCGCTAGGTGGGCTGATAGTCTCAGTACACCCCTCACTGTGTGTGAGCGCTACTATGTGTCTTTAAATCGCAAAGCAGCTAGCGCTCTGGACCGGAGGCAGTAGCAGCTCTTTTCCCCTTTGTCTGACAACTTCGAGGTCTCTCAAGCTAATTGCAAATGGTCGTCCACAAGACTGAAGCCTTGAAGCGAAGAAAGGAAATGAGAGAAGGGACAGGTGCTGCTACCTGCTGTACAGTAAGATAACAGACACTTCATAAGTACTGAATCATGTTTTCCGCGATAGTGTAGGGATGGCGATTGTCTTCACCGAAGTCGACATCGACATTAGCCGAAGAACCTGCAAAAATGCTAGGAAACATGACCAATTTGCGCACTTCAAAATAGTTCACAAAACAAGGTCCCGCACTCCAACCAAGGACTCCAAAAAACCGAAAGACGCCCCTCAGCAGCATACAATTCTGACACCCATTTCATGGGCAGTGCTTGTTTGAAAGGCCGGCATTTTGCCCTATCGCTTAGCTCCTTTTGCTTAGCTTCAACCAACCACAACGCCACGTCCCTTTGTGCAGCACCCTGTGTAAACTTTGGGAAGCTGAGAAATTGCTGGAGCGAGCCATTTTGGACACAGGATTTTACTGATCTGCAGGATGACCTGTACAAATTGGCTGAGTACCATTCGATACCCGCACCCGCCAAACCGCCGCATCGCTGCACCCATTTCTTCTCGCACAGTTAACCTATTCGTGCAGGGCAGTTATAAACAGTCTTTATATTGATGATCACCTCACAGCGTAAGCATGACAGTAGCGCTCATAAAAACACGTGCCAATACACCGTGGGAACACCACCCCAAGGGGCATTTTAATAAATGTTGATGGAAAATCGAAAGAGCCTGGATTCTCTCTTTCAGCTATTCCATATCCTTCCATGTCAACATAATCACGGCGGAGACCATGTATAACCATTCACAGAGCGCTAATACAGCAGGACATTCCACTGTCGCAGCAGGCACTGAGGCTTGTCAGGCAGCCGGGTCAGGCGCGGGCGCCATCTCGTTCCCCACTAAATATTGAAAAGGGATAACGACAAAGAGTGATGGAAACGGCCTACCGCCCTGTAGAACCCAGAACCACGAGGCCGGCGGTAAAAACGACTTAGACTTATGCAGAGATCGTAATTTGGTACGGCTTCATAGTTGAGCGAGCAATAGAAGTTTCCCTGGTAGCGGAACTCTCTCCAAGCCCTAAATGCGTGTGAGTGTGACTTGATCCAGTTGTCACGATAAAGAATCCCTAAGACGAATAGGGTTAATACGTCTGGTAGGACGGAATTACGCGCCCCTGAGGAGACACTGTGTAGCGCCTTTTCCAAGGAGATACCTTATAAGGCCCTACCAATCTACAACATAACCATCCGGACGCCCACCAAGCATGCCCCAACCCTCCCCTTAAATGGACGACTGTAACTGATGCTCATATTGCTTCATTTGCTTTCAGTTTCAATGTCGGTGAGGTTGGTGTGCTCGAATTTGTCGGTCTCTTCGCTAATTTCTGCGCAGGATGGTGAAAACCAATACGGAATTGTTGGGCAAACTGTGTATTTACTATCTGACTGAAGCTTTCCGACTATTCTACACCCTTTACGATTTAGATCAGTTGTTTGTTAAGTTCGGCTTCTAAGGTATGTACTATCGTCCCCTATACCCGATACCTGAATGTAAAGCTGTAGGCTGTCCAATTTGAGGTGTGTTTTGGTCGATGGCTGCGGACCTGAGTTGTGTTACCAGCTGTTTGATGAGCCTGAGGGACTATGAACCCCTCGCTTGAGGTCCCCCTTGGTTTGCTCGCCTGGGGTCCCGGACGAATTCGTTCGTAACGGGTTAAGTTGTCAGCAAGCCCCAGTACTGTCGTCGAATCCTTGCGTTCAGAACCAAGGACCAGGATCTCGCGGGGGACTCTTTCATCTTCCTAAAGGGGAAAACGGCCTTATTATCAACACAGGGAAGGTTCCGGTGATCTATTCAGTTCAAATTCTAATTCAAAACACAGCCTACTTGCTATCCCGAGATTTATTAGCTTCAGTTTTAAAGTTGTTCGTGTTTGTTGTCTTTGTTTATTTTTTTCTTTTTATAGTGCCATCCCCTAATTGAGTATGTTTCTGTCTTTTTTCAAGCTGAGTGGCGCACCCTTGGGTGTATATCAATAAATAAATTTGCGAAATAAAATACGAAGCGAAAGGAGTGATATGAATCGGCCGCGGTACTGCATGGGTACTCGGGTACATACATGCAACGGTATCTACCGTACCATTTATTGGATGTCGATGTCCAAGTCGTCCGAAATTGCTTTCTGAGTCATGAAGAACGGTGGCTTCTATCCGTTTTTTTGACCATTTCGCTTCGTTTCTCCGCCATTTTCCCCACTTCATAGCACCCTGTTTGCATTTAAGGCTGAGTGTCAAACTATCGTGTCATATGCCTTTGAGGCAACTGTACATTCACTTTCGAGGACGATCATTGCCATTTGCAAAGTGAACAGATTAGCAGCTCAAGGAGCATGCCACTCTCACTGCTCAAAAGTGCACAAGAACGAGATTAGCGGGTGCGGTGGAGGCGGCGTACGAGTTACTGCTCTGCAGCCAATGTCCCGGGGACTTTGAGTGGAGAAAGTTTTAAGGCAAGGTACTGCAGCTGCTGATCCACTCACCTCGCACCCCGCAAGGACCGAGAGCCGGGAGAGGCAATAGAATTTATCTCATGTATTCGTTATATCTAACTTTTATAACCCCTAGCAAAGCTTAGATTTTTTTGTGGGATTGATCCAAACTTACTGGTATTTTTCTGTTACGGAACCCGATGAGTGATAGCACTTTCCGTCTTATATCGTCATTCAGACAGAGTATCATCCATGCATTGACGTAGGAGAAGAAACAGCTGACCGCCGGGAAAATGGCCCTCATCGTATATATTGGACCGTCCTAAAATACTTTTGAACTAAGTAAAATAGAATGATCGAGATCATCGTCCAAAGCATGTTTCACGTGGGATAGAAAGCACTTTGCCCTGCCACCGCCTTGATATGGGAGCAGTCGTTTCCGCTGCGGACACTGCAGGTGTCAGAAAGAGTGGGTTTGGCGCGGCGCCAGCTCACATTTAGCCAATTGTTGAAACGGGCAAAAGGCAACAATAGCTGGAAAACGAGCTGGTTTCGCGTCAAAACCAGGTCTCCTGACATGCCCTTTCTTCTATAGCGGAACAAATACACTTGACGTGCCTGCATATTTCATTTATTCACTTATTCATACACTACGAGGGTGTGTGCTACAATTATCGAAAACAAAGTAATTTGAAATCACAATTGAGGATCACTAACTACTGCCCCAGTAATGTTGTGTTGCATAAAAATTTTATTGTCACAATACCACGTCCTGCTTTCTTGATGAAAGGGTGGTTATAGAATATGACATATACCATTTTCACTTGAAATCGGACATTTTTCAAGCCAAATAGGACACTTTTCAATTCAAAGCGGACCCCTTAAAATGGGCAGCTGATAAATAGACCACCCTAGGCACTGCTTTAAGCCCAGCCCCAACATCCTCGCCCACGCGGTCATGGCTTTTCCAAAATGTTTTATGAATTCTGCTTCTTCGAATTTTTTCACTTTTGCTATTTGACACACACACACACACACACACTTCAACTGAATACGTTCGGTACGACACATATATGACTCCGCCCACTTTCCAATGAAGTTAAGTACGCAAGTTTCACACGCAGTTTTTATAGCTGTTTTCGACGTCGTTCTTTTCACATTTAATCTTCACAGTACAAATATGCTAATAGCCATGCATTTGTACACTAGCACAATGAGCCGCTCCCCTGTGAGCACGCCACCTTTGATGGTTTTCGCGCAATTTTGACTTTCCTTCCGAATTTTCACTTTTTTAGGCTGTAACATGTGGCTACGCCTACTAATAGAGGCTCCGCCCATTTTACAGAAGCCCCGCCTACTTTTGAAAAGGTATGCAGATCGGCAGGCTAGTGTCCGTCCGTAGTGGCAAACTATGGCCTCTTCCGTCGCTCGGAACGAAGTTCAGCTTTTTTCCGTCCTGTGTGACGAGAGAAGCCATAACGTCCCTGTACCGACTCTAAGAAACAGAATTCATAAAACATTCTGGAAAGCCATGACCGCGCTAAGAAGTGGGCGGGGATGTTGGGGCGGGGCTTGCAGCAGTACCTAGTGTGGTCTAGTTGTCAACTGCCATTGTAAGGGGTGTGTCCGATTTGATTTGAAAAGTGTCCGATTTGTTTTGGTGTCCAATTTGAAGTGAAGATGGTATATAAGCTCACCCAAACTAGTCCCACAGATCTCTTCGTCAATCTGTACTGCGCACAAAACGACACTGCTCGTGCTAGTTAAATGTGTGTCTATCGTCTTGAGGTCTTGGCAGGGCACCAAGTGGCACACTTCAGATCACTCACAGACCGCCTAGTGAAGACCTGTAACTTCCTGCAACTAGAATAACCCACTTGTTGCTTCGGAGCTTTGCAAGATTGTACACATCTTATGTCCCATCTGACGAGAGCTGTTCATTGAAATGAACTAACAAAAGGGACCAGCGAAAAAGCGGAATGCTCCTTCCACCTCTTCCTCCGAGTCAAACAGGGTTGAGGTTGACACTTGAGCTTAAAGACAATTCCCGCGATCAAAGTGTTCGGGTAATTGGTGCCCAGTAACGAAGCAGTGGCCCATTTGTAACCCCCAGTGGAAAAAAAACCCTCGCGAACACCCTGAACACGACCTCCCTTTAGCAGTGGGGGCGGGGCCTGGACGAGTGTGCCGGACGTGGCTGCCAGAAATCGATGCGGCAGCCGCAATTGCGTCCCGACTTTCGAAATAGGATACTTTAAAGGGACGGAAGCAGCTCGGGACCGGACGCCTCGTCCACCTACCGTGTCAGCGAGCCTAGCGAGCCTTGTGGAAATCGCTATAACTTCCTTATCGCGCCATATTGAGGGATGAAAGTGGTATCATCTTCGTCAAGGCGTAGAGGGTTCCAAAAAGCACGAAGTCATTTTGAGGACCACTTGATCGCGGGGAGTGTCTTTAAGCTTCACGCCTTGTTGGATTAGGTTGGTTCTGGTAGGGGAGCTGCGTATGCCAGGCCTCTCGCAGAGCCTTTTTTGCTGCGACTGAAAATTAACACACTGCATCACTACACACAACGCCACCATTCTTAAGCACCTTCATATTTGTGATAGAATTCTGCGACCTATTGTTTTGACGGATACTTTATCGTTTTTCAAATCACTGTGGCCACTCCAAATCTTCTCTTACACATTTTTCTTTCATGCCACAAAAACACTGCGTATCGAGCCTGGATAGATAGGGTCGAAATCAGGGCGTTCCTGCCGCTGAGGGAAAAAATTCGTAAAATGGGACCCCTCCCTCCTTCCACCC